TTAAGTTGACTGATTATGAGTAAGTGGACTTGGGTAAGGAGGAATTGCAATGGAAGCTTGAGCACCAAGGCTGAATCAAGTGCAAATATATCTCCCATTGCTTCACACGCCATCGGAAAATGTTGCAAAACCGAGACAACGAAAGAGTAAAAAAAAAATAATAATAATAAAATAAATAAATAAATAAATAAATAAATAAACTGATTGAAAAAAAGGGAAAAGAAAACCATAACTTAAAAAACACAAAATCGAAAAAAAGAGATCTTTAACAAACGCAACAAGAAAATAAAAAGGAGAAAGAGATTTATAAAAGTTTACCCTAGCATCCGACTTGAAAGAAAACGACATACCATGAGCAGCGAAGCCATGTGTCGAAAGTCATCAGATCTTGTTTCAGTCTGTCCTATGTTGTTCACTGCTTTTAATTGCCTCTGACTGTCACTCTCATGCGTATGATTATTTGCTTTTGATAATCAGAGCTTTGTTGATTCTGGGACTCTTGTGTTAGTATTTTTTTGTTGTTGTTTTGTTAATGACGACATCGGTACGGAACCGCAATATTTTCGTTAGATGGTATGTTATTTTTGATGTCACTTTGAAAAAAAAGACAAATGTATATGTATGTATACCTATACAACTTAAATTACCATATTACACACGGACAAATAGACACAAACATCTAAATAAACAGACAAAAAGAGGTATAGATATTTTTCTCAAACAAGTTACCGATCTTTAACTTTCCCAATTACTTCTATATTGGAATAACAAGAATAAACTTCCAGGTAGTGCAAAAGTAAGTGGATAATATTTCTGGCACATTAATGAGTGAACTCGCGAAAAAGGAGAGAGAGAAAAAATAAGATGATTCTATATTTTCTGCCCTGGGAAGTACTGTATCTAATTAGCCAGGCAGACATTGCCTTGGACATATATATATATATATATATATATATATATATATATATATATATATATATATATATATTTATATATATTTAAATAGATATAAATATACACACATATACATGTAATTTAGATAAATAAACACACACACACACACACACACACACATATATATATATATATATATATATATATATATATATATATATATATATATATATATATATATGTATATATATATGTATATATATATATATATATATATATATATATATATATATATATATATATATATATATATATACATATACATATATATGTGTGTGTGTGGGTGTGTATTTATGATTAGTTATATACAATATACTATATATATAATATACGTATACAAATATATACATATATAATATACGTTTACATCTATACATATATATACATAAATAATATACATACGATATATATACATATACATAAACATATAACATATGTATGATATATATATATATATATATATATATATATATATATATATATATATATGTATACACGTATATATATATATATCTATATATATATATATATATATATATATAATATTATATATATATATATATATATATAGTATATATATATATATAACAATCCTCCCTGACCTGGCCTCGAACCTAGGTCACTCCGGGTAGAGACCGGAGGGCTAGTTACTAAACCAACCATGCCACACGAACCCACTGTGGGTCCGTGTGGCATGGTTGGGTTAAGTACTGGCCCTCCGGTCTCATACCCGGAGTGACCTAGGTTCGAGGCCAGGCTCAGGGAGGATTGGTTATATATCTATATCAAATGCGGTATTGCATTATTCCATCTTTCATATATATATATATATATATATATATATATATATATATATATATATATATATGCATATGTATATATATGTATATATACATACATGAATATATACAGAGATAAACACACATATCCGCATTGTATGTTTGTACACATGAACATGCACACACTCGTTCTCACTGACAGCTACGCATATACCATATATACTCTTACATACGTACATGCTTATATATCCATGAATATATGCATATATATAATACATACATACATACAATTACATATATGTGTGTATGTACGTATGTGTGTATACATATGTGTATTTACTTAAAAACATGTGCGTTTGTTTGCGAGTGTCCCGGGCTGCTTCGAGGGAGCCGAGCGCGCGTGCATGTGTCCTGCGACATGTGAGCGTGGGTTAGCTTCTTTCTTTCTTTTGCAAGGGATGTTTGCTCTGTGATCGGTTTACGACTTGTGAAACTTCCGGTATTTACTGTCTCTTATTCTTTGCTTCTGTGCGCTTCTTATGCTTCGCTTATTTATTTGGATGGGGGGGAGTAGCATTTGTAATTGTGTAAGTATGCGTTATCCGATAGGTCTGTAATATTAGATATGGGACGAACTTGTACAGAATTTAAGATACAGAGGTTTGCGTATAGCCATAGGTACTTATATAGTCTTATATAGAGTCGTGATGTAAGTGTTTTGTATATGACGGGGCTGATAATTCATTGCAAACAGCGTTATACACAACAAGTTCAATTCCTTGCCTCGTAACACTGCGCCCAAGTTACAGCAGTTGAACTCAGTTACCTCGTCAGCACACCTTGGATTTACGATAATAATTCAACGTAAAAATCTTAAACCTTTAACAAGTTTAACACCTCTTCTCGTAATGAACGCGAAGTTATAGCAGTGAACCCAGTTAACCTCGGCAAGCACGCCATGGCTGTATGTGTAAGTATCTCTATGCATGTGCGTGTATATGTGTGTGCGTGTGTGTGTGTGTGTGTGTGTGTACGCCAGCGCTCAACAGATGGCTCTGCGCGGTCTCGATACCCGCTGACCTAGTTCGAGGCCAGGTCAGGAGGATTGTTATATATCTATATCAATGCGGTATTGCATTATTCCATCTTTCATATATATATATATATATATATATATATATATATATATATATATATATATATATATATATATATATATATATATATATATATATATATATATATATATATATATATATATATATATATATATATATATATATATATATATATATATATATATATATATATATATATATATATATATATATATATATATATATATATATATATATATATATATATATATATATATATATATATATATATATATATATATATATATATATATATATATATATATATATATATATATATATATATATATATATATATATATATATATATATATATATATATATATATATATATATATATATATATATATATATATATATATATATATATATATATATATATATATATATATATATATATATATATATATATATATATATATATATATATATATATATATATATATATATATATATATATATATATATATATATATATATATATATATATATATATATATATATATATATATATATATATATATATATATATATATATATATATATATATATATATATATATATATATATATATATATATATATATATATATATATATATATATATATATATATATATATATATATATATATATATATATATATATATATATATATATATATATATATATATATATATATATATATATATATATATATATATATATATATATATATATATATATATATATATATATATATATATATATATATATATATATATATATATATATATATATATATATATATATATATATATATATATATATATATATATATATATATATATATATATATATATATATATATATATATATATATATATATATATATATATATATATATATATATATATATATATATATATATATATATATATATATATATATATATATATATATATATATATATATATATATATATATATATATATATATATATATATATATATATATATATATATATATATATATATATATATATATATATATATATATATATATATATATATATATATATATATATATATATATATATATATATATATATATATATATATATATATATATATATATATATATATATATATATATATATATATATATATATATATATATATATATATATATATATATATATATATATATATATATATATATATATATATATATATATATATATATATATATATATATATATATATATATATATATATATATATATATATATATATATATATATATATATATATATATATATATATATATATATATATATATATATATATATATATATATATATATATATATATATATATATATATATATATATATATATATATATATATATATATATATATATATATATATATATATATATATATATATATATATATATATATATATATATATATATATATATATATATATATATATATATATATATATATATATATATATATATATATATATATATATATATATATATATATATATATATATATATATATATATATATATATATATATATATATATATATATATATATATATATATATATATATATATATATATATATATATATATATATATATATATATATATATATATATATATATATATATATATATATATATATATATATATATATATATATATATATATATATATATATATATATATATATATATATATATATATATATATATATATATATATATATATATATATATATATATATATATATATATATATATATATATATATATATATATATATATATATATATATATATATATATATATATATATATATATATATATATATATATATATATATATATATATATATATATATATATATATATATATATATATATATATATATATATATATATATATATATATATATATATATATATATATATATATATATATATATATATATATATGCAGCCGACGTCGAGACCGAGTCGTGTGGCGTGTCAGTTGTGGTGTAGTGCGTGTGGTGGTCGGCTGTGTGCTCGGGTTTTCTTTCAGTGTTGGTGGATCCCTTCGTTTTTTTTGTTGTCAGGTGAGTGTTTCCTCAATGTGATTTTTTTTTCTAATGTGACAGTTGTCTATGTGTGTGTGGTGACCTTACGGCATTAAGATTGGAAATGTATGTCTTTGTTGGATACGAAGAGGTGTACCTGTTTAAAGTTTGAAAATTATCTTTCAAACGTAAAGATTACGGCAAGCACAAGAGGAGCACAGTTAGAGAAACCCCAGCGAGGACACTTCTATCGCAACGGCTGATAGGACCTGTGAATATACATATCCTTCAGGAGTTGTAATAATATCCTTGTGAATATAACGTTTAACGAACTAAGTTCCAGGTAGGAGTGGTAGTAGCTGGGGGGTGGGGGGAGGGCGAGGGGAGAAGGGGAGGAGGAGGAGGAGGAGGAGGAGGGAGGGCCAGGTAATGGTAGCAACGGTAGAGTTGGTAGCGGGTAACGGTCCTGAGGCAATACCACCGCATGCATGTACCCGAGTTTACCCCCGTGCCCTCTGTATTCAATGTCGTGTAATATGTAACACGTACCCAGGTTGCATTTCACATTTTATCAGGCCGAGAACGCGTGTCTTCGTGGCATAACTTCCTCTCTGGATTCCACTCTCGGTCGCTACCCGGTGGTCAAGGTACCCCTATCTTACCCCAGGGGATCAGCTTTTCTCCCGCCCCTTCCCCCTCTTTCTTATGCTAGTTCTGCGGTCGCCAAAAACGCCTCGGAAAAAAAAGGGGCAAAGAAAAAGAAAGAAAAAGGGAAATGGAAACGCTTCACCCACACCACCAGGTCCTCGCGAATATAGCGTTATGTAAGCACCCCATTAGCAGATTCTGGAAGGGTTTTAAGACAAAAGGGTGCGGTAATAGTAATGAGGAGGGAGTGCTGGAGGGCGCGGGTACCTGAAGGAATGTCACGCCGGATTAAGCAGAGAGTGGGACGGGCATGAAGAAGCTCATGGGGTCTCCTGCTGCCCTCTGTACCCTGTTTACATTTTCCTCTTGGCCTCGACGTGCGGTCCGCCTGCCTGCTCTACATTGCCCTAGGCCAGGATTTTTATAGTCGCCCCGGGCCTGCTGGCGGTCTACATGCTTCCAGCTCTTAGTCAGGTGCTCTGGGACTTATTTATGTATTTGTTTTTCATATTTGTGGATTAGTGTTTGCGTATGACTCAACTCGAGGGTCCAATAACAACTGCGGTTACTCACGAGTGTTCGATATAAAAATTGATAATGTCAAGGCACAGATATATTCGATACTTACAGTCATGAGGCGAATGAAGAATGCATAAAGTCATGCATGTTACAAGTCGGCGTCAGGCAGATGGAAGGTCATAGTATCATGCACGGGACAAGAAGCCAGACTGCAGCGCCCAAGAAATGCGTTATCATTGGTTATCGTTCAACGCGGAAGAGAATGAATGATAGTAGATTTACGTCACGCCGGAAGCGGATCGTAGAACTTTTCGACTTAGAGGACTTTGCCTATCAGAAAAGACACGGCTTTCAGAGCTTAATGCCGGGTATTGAAGCAAGTGGAAGCCATAAACGTAAAAATGTGATGACGATCCCAGATTCGGACTCCAGTGACGCAAAAGGGAATAAATCACAGGCATCGGATCGCCCTTGCGAAAACTAGTATGAATAATTTATATGAATACGTCGAAGGCAGGGCATGAGGTGCTAGTCAAAACATGACGCAATATAGACCGAAACTTAAAAAAAGAGAAAGCCAAAAGACGAAGAAAAGGGACATTGCAGACCAAATTGCCACAGAAAGCGACCCAGCCTCTCCATTCCGGATTCACAGAACAGCAGCAGCCAAGACCTTTGCATTCAGCATTTGAACAGCAGGAATGTGTGATTCAATAGAAGCCATTTCTCCCTCCTGGAATTCCTTTTAGCAGGCACACAATCTCGATGTTTTCTTGTGTGGGTACTTTAGGTCGATTGTGGAGAGGGTGTAAATAGCTTATGCAATGGAATTCGATGTTGCGTAAAATGATTTAAGGCTTGAAGCTTCATTTTGTATGTAGAAATATATTTGCTTTCGTTGATCTGTGCTTCATACTTCGTAGCATGTTAAGAATTCTTAATTTATTGGATTTTAAAGAATTCTCTATGCTATTGAAATAATAAAACTACACGCATCAGTATTTCTCAATGCTAACAATAATAGCAATGGTTATATATGTACTCTAAGCGCTTGTATTATTAACATAAGCGATTAAGCATTTGAAATGATAACGGCAGTGATAACAGTGATAATGGTAATGAAGTTAGGAATATGATAACGATATTAGTAACCACAAACCTTATGATAATGCTGTGATGGTAATACCAATGGTAACAATAATAACAACAACAATAATTATATAAACGAAAAAGCCTTTTTGCGACTATCGGTATTGGCAATTTCGATACAACGACAAGAGATTTTTTTAAAAAGTCACAATTCAGCAAACTATCAACGCTGGTAATTTAGACACAACAATAATATAGATAAAAAAAACAGTCATATTTCAAC